ATTTATTCAGCATAATAACACTTTCTATTTTCTACTGTGAAAATGCTCTCCTGCTCCTTTAACCAAACAACCTTTCCTTGTGATGTGTAGATCTTTTTTTGGTAACAGTAGGTTCCCTTCTGCACTACACCTCATCAGAACCGCTGCCCATCAGTGATGAAGGGAACAGAAGGAGGGAGGGATGGAGGTAGTAAAGGGGATGGATGGATCATGTCTGACCACAAAAGAGTTGGGTTGCACAGGGCTTTTTTCTCCATCAGGCCTGTCTGCGGCCCCTGGATCCAATATTCATTTAGCTTGATGTATTCCTGGGCTTGAAACTTTAATGTGATTTGTGGGAGAATCCAGATGGCAAGTTCACGGATCAACGCTGCTCACTGACAGTGCTGGTGCCAGCGGCCGGGTGCACAATAACACTGAATGCCTCAGCCCTCCCTCCTTCTCTCTTCTGTCTACGCATACCTCATATCCCCAACCCTACCATCGACACACACACACATTTTCTTTTTCTGATATCAATGTGTTGGTACTGGGAAATTGCAGAAGGAACCGTTCGGGATGCTGACATTCAGCTCAGCACTATCACTCTTGCGATCTCTTGTTTTCCACTCCCTTCTCCCCTCAATGTTTCTGTCCCTTCCCTTTCAATGCCTCTCTCTCGTACCACCTCTTACCTTCCTGCATCTCTGTACACATCTCTTCTGTCTTACTTCATTACACTCACTCATACTCCTGCAACACTCATGCACATGCCCCTTGACTCGTCCCACATCATCCCTTGGCTCTCATTCACTCCATCAATCACTCTCCTCATTCTTGTTTCTTCACCTCTTTTGCTCTCCTCTACATTCTCCCACCAAGCACGTACTCAAGTATTGGAAATTTGATGTCTTGTCCTCCCACTCCAGTGTAGAAATTATGTCAAGCAATAAAAGTAAATCCATCAACATTTGTTAGTGCAGTGGGGAATGAGTAGGAGAATTGGAGCCCTCGGGCCAAAAATGAAATGAGAAACTAATCAGAGTAAAAACATTTATCTTTGTGACTTTGCTGTGTTAGTGCAGTAACATGTGAAAACATTCAGAAGGATTGGGCCATAAAGCTACAGTTTATATGGCTCTGAGGCAGGTATTTGTTAAGGAAAACACTAGATTTTAGAGTAGGGAGTTACACTTACCATCATTAAAGAGCTGCCGATAAAATGAATAGATGCGTATTGGAATTCCCGTGCAGCTATTTGATAACCTCCAACTTCATGCTCTGTCAGTGCACATAATTCCCTGCAACCCCTATGCCTGGCTTGCTCTAAATAAATAGCACCTCAAAATGGCAGTTAATCTCATTGCATACATCAGAGGCTGATATATTTCCTTCACGTATGTTGTGCGATATAGGCCCACAAACATTCCATGAATGCTAAAAACCGAGACTCTGAAACTGTGACTTTGCCTTTTCATTATGTCTCTTTCTAGAGTGCTCTATTTTTACATGGTGATAGATGGGGAGTATAGGCCGCAACTGAGGCTTGTAACTGCCTTGGCAAGCAGTTGCCTGCTTATTGGAATGCCACGCTCCGCCTCATAAGTTACAGTTTCATTAAAGATTAATTGACCATTGTGTGGCTGCAATTTCGCAAAATAATCATTACTTAATCCACTGGTGCAATAAAGTGCATTACTTCAATGGGGGCATTAAATTACCATTGGAGGTTAGCGTTGCAGCCATGATACAAAACCGAAGACCTCTGAACTGGAAGATTGCCTGTTTCTCTTCAGCCCAGGCCTGCCCGGTCTGCCCTGCTGATCCTTAGATATTTAAAACTGAGGGGGCATGTAGCTTTAAGATTTGCTGCGTTGGCCCATTTCACTCGAGGGCCCTCTTACACAACTAAGAGGTAAAGGTGCAGCTAAAGTAGCTATTTATCCACTTTTCATTTCTTTACATAAAGCGCTTTAGGACTTTGACGGTGTGTGTGTTGGGCCTGACAGAGGATAACATGTTCCACTGGAGCTATTCTCAGCTCTCAGAATATGTTAGCATTTTTTAAAGTTCTGAATGAGGTGTACTTAGCATTCAAATGGATAATGTGTTGCTGTGTTTGTGCTGAGTAGATTATCGTAGATTATCATAAGTGTTCTGAGCACACTCAAAGGCAGCCTGTGTCATCAAACAAGACTGACTCGAAATTTCGCTGTACAGTCTTATTTAAGTATTTGTGTGTGGGAACAATTTAATATTTCCATCTCAAATATCCTTGTCCAAAGTGCATCACAAAGCAATTCATTTTTTTTTCATTCTTGAATGCTCTGGTGAGGTTTTGGGGATTTGTTTGGTACACTGACACTTGCATATATTTGAAACAGCAAAACAACAGAGAAGTAGCAAATCCCATTTCTTAGAACATATTAACATACAGTGTGCATATGCATATGTGATACACCCTACTCTATCTGTGTTGAACAGAAATACTTGAGGAACACAATGTGTTTCACACAATATCTATAGTGTGAGCTTTGAAAAAAACCCACTTACTCATATTCTTAACACAAAAAGCAAGGGAGGCTGCAGGTGTAGTAATCACTGTAAAAGCATAAATTACATACAAAAATGGTCTTGGCATTCAGGGCTTGCTGCTCCTGCTTCCTGAAAAAATGGAATTGCTGAAATTGCATGTTGAAGCAATTGCTGGATTGAGGAGGGCAGGCAGTCTGGAGAGGTAGATGAGCTCTCCGTGGTGCTGAGTTATTGCCAGTTGTGCTGCACACCGGACACAGACACATAAGTTGAGTCAGAGTAAAAGTAAGTTAGTGATTACTTTTCTTATTTTTTCCTGATTGCAAGATCACAGTAGGGTGAATGCATTTTGTAATTGATTTATTTTTATTTTTTATGACTAATGGCCTCAAAGGGTTAGTCCATGCAAGTTGAATTTAATAATTTTGTTTTGAATTAGCAAAGTAAACACCCTGGTTATTAGCTATGTTTAAAAATATGTGTTGTGGTTGCTGTTGGCTGCTTGTGCGCTTCAGTTGCACTGTTCAAGCTGTTCCGTCATGTGCTGCCATGTGTCCCTGCACAGCAGTAGCAGTAGGGTCTCAGCTGGTGAGATATTGTACTAGTGTCACACATTCATGTGCACGCACACAGACAGAAAGTCATGTAAGAGCACACATACACACTGTTTGCAAGCTCTTGCAGAAATCACATGTTTTACAAGAACCCCGGAGAGGGGGAGGAGAGACGTATGACAAGGTCTGACATTTCCATTTCAGCTATAAAAGATACAACTGCCCTAAAAGTGTCAAGATATGTTGTATACACATCCCAGATCAAAAGCCCACATTTATCACAGAAATTACATCGAACATCCTTAAATACAGAAAGAATGCTAATCTATTTGTTTAGGGAGGCACATAATTTGTTCTTTGCTCAAAATTAACAATCTGCTTATTCACATACAAATAGTTGTGTAGTAACCCAAAATTGAGAGACACAATTACACAAGATATATTTTGTGGGTGGCCTTTTT